CCCGCGCCCGCGGTCACCTTGCCCGGGCCGCCGCGCACCTGGCGCCCAGGGCCGGTCTGGGCCGCGCGGGGCCTCCGGGACTGCGCGGGAAGTCTGGTGTCCGGGACGGGGGAGGGGGCACCCGGCCTGCGCCCCGGGGCCGGCGCATGTCGGCTTTGGGAGGCCGGTTCGGGCGCAGGGCCTCCCCTCTCCTCCGCGCCTCACTTCTCCTTGGACCTTGTCCCCCCGTGGCCGCGCGGCCGGGGCCACTCCGGGCTCCTCTGACGCCCGCCGCGCCCCTCATTCATTCATTCACGACGTTTGAATGGGCACCTGCTGTGAGCCAGGCGCCGTCCCCGCCGCCCAGGCGCCCTGCCCGTCGTCGCTCGCGCCCCCATCCCCACGCTGCTGCGCTCTCCCCAGCAACCCCGGATTTGTCCTATCCTCGCACCCGGACTCACTTCCTCTGAGCTCCTTAGCGCCTCCTTCTCCTGCTTGCAAGATATTTGGGCTTATTTTTACCTTACAGAAAAAGAAAAGGAGCAATGCGGTCTTCTCTATTGCTTTGGCCACCTAAGCACCTACTGTGTGTGAGGCTTTTCACTTGGAGCCTTTTGTTTACTTTGGGGCTGTCTAAGAATCTGCAGCCCCCTGAGAATGGTGTTGAGCCTCAGGAAGAACGGGGCGGGGAGTAGGGGGGAGTTCTCCCCAACTCCACTTTCGGTCCTCTGGAGCTGGGTGCCATAGGTGGGCCCAGAATAGCTCCCGAGAAAGGGGAAGTTAAAGGGCATAGTTAGTTACATGTGGTAATGCGGTTCCCTTGCCGTTCCTCCTATTAATTATTTTGCCCGCCGCTTGCCCTGGGATTTTGGAGTCAAAGAGTTTGGGTTCCAGGTGGGGCTCTACCGCTTACAAGCTGGCTGGCTTTAGGCAAGTGGCTTTATTTCTTTAAGCCTCAGGGTTTTTTTTTTATCTGTTAAGTGGGGATAGTAATGATAATACCGCCTTCATTATGAGGTTATGATTATGAATAGTCGGTACCTTCTTGGCCCAGAATCATGACTAAGTTAGTGTCAGTTCTTGTTACTTCATGGCCAGGGTCAAATCAACATTGCTTAGTCTTACTGGAGGACTTTCAGGGTTT